TTTTTGTTATATTCATTTTTCAGCCAGTCAAATAACATTTATTGATTTTTTTTGAGGATTGACAGAATATTCTAATGAGGTCATATTCTGGCACTTTTATTAACATTTGGTGGTATATTCTGCATGCACAGTTGCAGTAAGCTGAGCATTTAGAGAGCTAAGTTGCTATTCAATGAAAGGATTCCCGAATATATTTCCAAAGCTCATGTAACTGGGCATTTGGTCAGATTTAGCAGAAAACATTTTGAGAGAGATGCTAAATAACCATGCAAGTCACATTGTACACTGCTTCAGTTAACTCAGATGTAGACCATTGTTCTGAGTGAGAGTGACGAATTAGCAGCAGATGACAAGTAAATAGCTAGAATCATGGAAAAAAAAATCACCCACCTACAAAAGAGAAGAACATTAGGTTTGGACTAATGAATAAACAGTACCTGCCATTTGATTCAACCTGTAAGTGATTAATAGGTATCATCATGGAGCTACACTGAGGTAATGTGGTAACAAGCGTGAATAGCAAATGTTACTGCTCTGGATTGGATGGATGAGCAGACAAAAAGCTTTTGATAGCAATGCTATGTGAAGATTTTCAGAGCAAAACAGAACGACTTTCAATACTGATTCCATTGTTATTCCTTTCTGAGGCCTGATTGTGATTTTATGTGAAACAGAGGTCAGGAGTAATTCCAGTAAAATTACTAAGGTTATGGTGTTCTAAATCGGACGTGATCAGAATTAGGCTCAGTCTTAAGTACAGTAGATGCTTAAGCTAATATTACTGTCCTGTTTTATATCTAAGTCAAAGTTGCCAGCTCCCATGTTCACATTTTCAGTGTTATGCTCTCAAATTATTTCATATTATTATCCTTTATTAAGTACAACCATCATTTCAAAATGACTCTGACAGGAATAAAGTCAAGTGGTTCATACATATTCTCTCTCTCAGCTGTGTATTCTTGTGTGGGATTTCTGAAGGCCAGTGGTCATGCTGTGAGCAAGCCAGATAAGGGCAGAAGGGTGCCAGACCTAGATGAAAGGGCAGAAGGGCGCCAGGCCTAGCTGAAAGGGTGGAAGGACTGCTGACTAAGAGATAAGGAGTGCGGCCGAGAGTCAGATAAGGAGTCAAAGAGTTGAGACAAACAACTAAGAGGGGGACAGTTGTTAAATGTAAGGACATGTGGACGCTGTTAGTTAGCCTATCACACTGTATAGTTAGATGCGTAGACGTGGGGTCTTAACCAATCATTGTAAAGAAGCGCTCGCCTGTACGGGGAAATCTTGCATATAAGCACGATTGGAACCCTGAATTAACTGGCACTGCTTGATCACATTGATCGTGTGAGCGGTGTCCGAGACCCTCGCATCGACATCCTTGAGCTGCCTTTTTTTTTGTTATTTTTAATATGGAAAGTTACTGATGTTTTTGGAAGTATTTAAGATATAGGAAAAATCATGAAGGTTGCTGTGGGAAAGGAACAATAAAAAAAGAATGTTTAAAGAACATTGTGAAAGCAGAGTGAGAGAAGATGTGGGAATTCAGTCAGAATGGGAGGGTCACTATAGTGAGGAAAATATGGAAAAGGAGCATTAGTAGGTAATTACTTGCACCAGAAATTCAAACAAGACAGATAGATAGGAAACATCTTTACTAACTCTCTGTCCTGTTTGCATAATATTCCTATTCACAGAGAAAAGAAAAACAATAAATAAAAAGCAAATGAACAAAAGATCCAATGCAATTGATCTTTGTGAGCATTTCCCAGAAAAAGCTCATCATTATCTACTTAATAACTGTAGAGCACAGTCTAGAAAGATGTCCAACTTCAGTATAAAACAAAAGAACGTATCCAGGGATCAATACTTTATGTAGTGTACACAAAATCATCATCTTGCCTTCTACAATAATGTTTTAATCTGCTGTTACTTATATCTCCGGTGTTGTCAAATATTTTACCATAATGTAAGTGATACAGTTTAATGTCTTTTTTATTTATTTTTTATATCAGTGTGCTTCTTTGTAGAAAAGACAAAAAGCAAGATTATAAATCATAGAGAAGTGAACAAGAGACAGAAAAAATAAACAATGTTTAGGTTTAGAGAGAGGTCTTTCATATTCAAAATTAAAAATCAAAATTGCTAGCTGGATGTTGGAACCTTCTGTGGCTATTCTTAGTTTGATGAAAATGTAATGGTCTCCCAGTCTCTTGTAGCTATAACACTCTTCAGTGGAGAATGTTGTTCATATTTTCTTTCTCTAACCCACTATAGGTTTGATAATCACTGAATCGCTTTCTGCAATATAACATCTATAATAGAATGCAAATGAAATGATATTGTGCTGACTGACTAGATAAGCACACATGACAATCCATATGGTTGGTGGAATGCTACAGTAACACCCCCAAATAATTACACCATAGATAAATTTGATCCACTACATTCAATTATCCCAAAATAATTTATGATGGGACTATCAATTGCTCATTTAGTCAAAAGAACATATTAATGTTTTTTTCTTACTGAATATGTTCATAAATTAACACTGTAAAAGTACAGAGAATTCACAGCATGGAGAACCTGTTACTGATAAAAACTGATAATACCCAAGTTAAGCTTTCAAGTGGAGTATGTAAAATAGGCACCACAGTGATGCTCACAGACAGCTTCATACATTTATTTTGAGGGAAACACCACCACGACATTTTCTCAAAATTCTGTTTTCATCTGTGGCCCTAATTCCACAATTCAAAGCTGAAGTTTATATGGTATATCTTTGTGAACCCAGATGGAATATAGGGATGTGATGCACTTCAACACACTTTGTTTTCAACATCTGTAAGGTTAGTCCCTCTGAGATTTTGCTTCTGCTTTTCTTTCCTTTAAAATACTTTTACAGGATTCCATGATTTAGAGGAAATAGAAAAAATAAATAATGCTACTTATGGCATTAGTGTAAATCAGACTGCAAGTATAAGAATATAACGCTACTTATGGCATTAATGTAAATCAGACTGCAAGTATAAGAATATTGGAATTTATAGCCTTTTAATTATTTTTAGTTCATTAAATCTTTTCTTTCTGTTCACACTTATTTTTTAACCTCAAAGGAATAAATACATTCCTGTACTAGAATTCCTGATGTTTATTTGAAGACTTCTGAAGCTTATTATTAATAGCAATTGTATCCAAGCAGCTCTGTTTCTGTTACTTGCTGTTAAAGAATATTCAAATTATATATATTAAACTAGGAAGATACACATATAAATCCCAGTTTTTACTCCTATGCAGATAGCTATGGCAGAATAGATTTTCTAAAGCTCCATTTCATCACTATTTATTTTCTCTATTAAAGAAATAGAGTTCCCTGGTATACAAAATATTTTGGAGGAAACTGCTATTGCATCCTTCCAATACAATGTGTGAACAACCAGAACACCAAAGTACATGAACAAAACTTCATGTATGTCTCAAGGTGAGAAATCAGTGGAGGTGCTGTAATCAGGTGGAGTTTCAGATTGCTCTGGAGATTTCCCCAGGTAGTTTCTGCTGTGCCTGGGCTGAGGGACATGCTAGATGTGGTGATTAATCCCCAGGTAGGGACTCAGGCCGTCCTAGGGGCTCCTGCTGCAGAACTGATCCAACTATACATAGATAAGACACTTGCAAATAGTCAGTAGGAGTTTTTCTTGAGAGTGCATCAATGTCCCTGTAGGACAGTCTCTGGTACACTTCCTCTGCATAGTGACTCGTTTGAGATTCCTTCTCCAAGGAAGCCTTACCCTCTTCAAAAGATCCTCATAAATTAGGATTTTTTTTCTTTTTAACCAAATCTCTGTCAGTGTCTGTGTTTAAAAAACACTTTATCCCTGAGTATCTGACACAGCCTTCAACTATGCCTTTTTGTAGAAAATACTAAAAAGAACGGAGATGGAAAACACACACAAACAGCAGAGACAAGACAGTCCTGGTACTGCCTTTCTTTAAGCTAGAACATTCTCCACATTCCTTCCCTCCTGTGCTCAAAGGAGCAACTAATGTTTGAATGAAAGGTAAACAGTGGGCAGCAGATGAAAAAACTGTGAAATTGGACGCAGTCTCCCTTAAAGCTTAAAGGTTTAACGTCATCTTAAGGAAAATATATATATATGTGTGTATATATATATATATATATATTCTTCTTATTCCTTAGTTCTCCAAGGGAAGAATTCGTGTCCATCTGTACGTGGAATTAGCTGATTACTTTGTACTGAACTGTATATAAATAGTATCACTTATTGGGAATAGGCTGCTGCTGTGGCAGGTCTTTGTGATGATTCCTTTAGAGAGATTATATGGATGAAAAATTCGGCAGATACCACAGTAAACTAATCAGCAGAGTTTTCTATAAGAGCTATTTCATATAAAAGACAAGTAAAATAACAAGTATTAGTCCAAGAAAACTAACCGTAAATTCCTGGAATAAGTTATAATTTTACTTGAATCACACTCTAATGTGAAGTTGAAAAATCATACCGCAGTCTTGATAGCTTTCTTGAAGAGAAAGACTGATAAAATCATCTTGTTACAAAATTATCAACTGTTAGATTTATAAAATATTCTTTTTTTTTCTTTGTCAAAGGAATGAAAGGTAATATCTAAGTTTCCACATTTTATTTCTTTAATACTGCAGGGCAGATTGTAGTTTTTTCCACCTAGAAAATCCAACTAAAACTAGTGGATTCGAATGGATACAGTAAGTTCAGAACAGTCTTAGATATGTCATACAAGAACTATGATATTTCCCTTTTCCTGTAAGAAATTTCCAGTCTGTAAAAATGAAGAATGATCCAGAATAAAGCTTGGAGTATTTTTTACTGTTGCAGAACAGTTGGAAGAGCTGGAATTCTATGGTTCTAGTACAGCATATTCTATGAAAAAAAAAAATACAGATGTCAGCCCTATTTGTTCTAAATTTTCTTTGTTAAATTTGAAAAGATGTCATATTGTTCTTGCAGGCAAGGAGCTCCAAAGGAGAAACAAATCTATCTCCATGTCCGAACATCAGAAGCAGCACATGACTGAAGAATGCAGACCTCTTGCTGGGTAGTATGCTTTAGAGCAGTAGTACTGAAAAACAAATTTAAATAAATATTCTCTCTTCTTCCTTTTTTGCCAACTATCCTTTATTTACAATGCTTGGAGTTTTCTGATGAGGTTGTCCCTGTTACTGCTTATTTTAGTTTTTGTCTGCACGTTATAATATAAATATAGTCTAGAACTGGAAAACTCTTTTATAAGTATTTGGTGCAATTTTTGAATCGCATCATTTCTTCGTCACCTTCTGCTAGTCAATCCAGTTACTCTCACTTTTATTATTAAGCACTGCGTATGTGTTGGCACACTCCTTTTGTTCAAAATCCTACTTCCTTCTCTACAGGTTCTTTGTTTAGACTTCTATTTCCTAAACTATACAGGCAAATCTTTCTTTGTAATTCAGACCACAGAACTTGAATCATTTTGTTTGCCCTATGCTGCACTTTTCTATCTCAACAAATGTAGTATATATAGGGAGAGGAATAAAATTGCATGTAATAATAAAAAACAATTCATTTTTTTTAAACCATTATCTGGGGACTGGCATAAAGTGCATTATCAGCAGAGTATTGCTATTCTGAAGACAGTATTGGTTGTGAGCTGAATTCAGGTCTCCTTGACTACAATAAAAGTAAATGGGTTATGATGGACCAAGATGTTATGTTGTACAGGGATTTTCAAGTTAAATTTTGTTTCACAGTCAAATGAACCTGATGGGTTATCGTGGGCATTAGTCTATCTAGGATTTACAGTCACTACAACCCCCTAACAAGAGACTGGATGTCGAGAATCTGCAAACTTGAAGTAGTTCATTGGATATCTGTAGGGGATGACAGCTGGAGCCAGATGCCGTTATTAATAGTGGGCTATAAAGGTGCAATTAAGTCAGGAGAGTTAGAACTGTAAGTTTCTCCTGTCACTTGATCCACATAGGCCCATGGAGTTGAAATTTAAGTTTGTGCTTAATACTAAGCACATTGCTGAATTAGAGTAATTGCAGAATTGCAGAAAATTGTAGCAACTTAGAAGAAAAAAAAAAGGTTGAGGGAATAATACAATGAGATTACCCTGCCACTATTCTTATTTCATTCTCACCCCTTCCTAAATATTGTGATCTTATTATTTCACTAAAATAAGAGGATTTGTGTTGTTGTTGAACACAACCCATAAAACCACAGTGTACAGACTGGATCATCTAGCTTAACCCAGTCTACTAGCTGAACAAATTAAGGACTGAGTTCCAGCATAGATAAATTTGATTCATATGAAATGAATATTGAAATATTGAGTATAACTTTTACTTTTTTTTCTTTCATTTGAAACAACAGTACCATTAGATGGCACTCTGTGTGAAGTTGAAAAAACTTACTTTGCAAGACTATTGCAACTCAAGTATTTAAACAAAGCAGAGTAAAGGAGAAGACAACAAACATGGAACCAAATGAAAAAAAAATCATATTTGTTATATTTTAAGAGTTCATAAAGAGTGTTAAATAATAATGTAATAATTACCCTTAAAAGGAACATTTTGCACCACTTGTAAAGACTTTTTTTGACTGTTGAGATATACATAATTTGTTCCTTTTCTAATTTTAGTTTAAGCTTTCTAAAGGAAATATTAAGACATTAGAAGCATGCAAGTGTCAACATCTAATAAGGCAAGGTAAGTATCTAACAAAATGATCTTTTGATATTATTATTCACTGTCTCGAAAAGCAAGTTACCTCTTGGATAGGCATGATAGTAATATACGTATTTTATCTGAGAGGAGAAGTTTAAAAGATGTTTTTAGAGCTTTTACAGGAGAGCTTGTCTCCCCAGTACTTTGTATGTACCAGTATTTGAGTACCAGGAAAACATCATTTTGAATGCGCATTCTAAAACGGTTTTATTGTTATTATTATTATTACTATTTTTCCAGAAAGAGGTAGACATCCTTTGAAAAATAAGCAAGTAAAAATTCTGAAACTTAGTCTGTTACATTAAAGGAAAATTTTGCTCCTGGAATTCCAGATTACTTTTCACCTGGGTCTCTCATCATGGTTAGCCTGTATGTTCCTTAACACTGAGGCTGTGTAATACTTAAGAAAAGACACATGAAGAAATGCTAAAAAAAATAAAAAATAAAATAATAATAATAATAAACTAAATTTCCCTCAGATAAACCTGTGCAACCATGAATTCAGTGGAGTCCTGTGCAGGTACAGAGGTACACCAATGCAGACTTGAGTAATGGCCTTAGCAAAGAAATTATTCTGAAATGCTTTGTATGCAAAATTAGATTGCCATGGTAAGGCAGTCTTACACTTTGGAGGTTTAAGTCTACTTTCAAGCCGTACTTAATAAGTTGTCATCACCCAGTATTCCAAAATGTAATAACAGCTGAAGGTTTAATCTCTAGACACCTCTATCCCAAGTAAAGCATCAAATATATTGTAAGCAAATGCTAAATTAGACTTTTTATCATGAACACTAGCTAATATGCTTCTCTGCTCTGTGTTGTAAAGAAGAGCAAATGAAAGTTAAATGTCTGGAAATGTCCTCCAGAATGCATCTGGGGAGAAAGATTTTCTCATCATTCTTCTGCTGCCTCAAGCGTGTGAAGGTAAGTTATTCTAAAATAATATTTTGGAGGCTCTCCAGATTTTTAGAGGCAAATTGTCAAGTGATTTCTGTCGCATGGACTTTCCTGCACTGAAGGCCTCCTCAGTTTTGGTAATTCATGCTTGGAAACATATAAAGTCTCCTAAACATAGATGAGGAAATACTTAACTTGAGAATAGGACTGGTATTTAGTGACAACATGAAGTATAGCTTTACAAATCAATAGTATTGGAAGATCAATTGGTGTTTCAAAACTGGTCCCTGCATTTTATAATGTATTTCTATCACCACCACTGTTTGTAAATGTTACTTTCTTCTCCTTTCCTCTCCTCTCTGTATACTGCCACAAGAAATCCTCTTTTACAGGAATGAGTTCAGGAATGAGTTTTTTTTTCTCTTTATACATTCAGCCACAGATTGGAAGCTACTCTTACTTTTTTTTCTTTTTTTCTTTTTTTTTTTTTTTTAATGCAGCTTTCACATGCATTTACCTGCACTGTAGAGAGTTTTGTAATTAATTTTCCCACCATTTGGGGGTTTTAGGCTACAGCCAAGCCTATCTGTAAGTCATTCCCAGAAAATCCAGTTGAGCTTTGAGGCCTACTGCTGTAATCCTGCCCCAAGCAAATAGGATAGTAAAGCAATCTAACTAAATAAAGGGAAATAAAATTTAAAGAGCAATTAAAAAAGTCATAATTTTCAAACATTCACCTCACTGAATTGCTTCCTACATCTTGATTACAATCTAACAAAACACAACCTCTCAGAGACTGATTTTTCCAAACAAGTGTCACTAAAATAGTTATTTATTTCCAAAAGTCTCTTTAACATCTTCTGTACATACCTCTTCTTGTTACCAACTGTTACCAAGCAGCTGTTACCAGCTGTAAAAGATTTCCTTAGAAGTAATTTTTCATCAACTATTTGTCTCTTTTTTTATCAGTTATCCTTTCAGTCAATTAAACTAGACCAATATTGTCAGTTCAGCAGTTGTTCCAACAGCCAAATCTACAAAAAGCTTTTGATTTAAATTTCTGTATGGAATTTCAGAGTTTTCTTTGAAATAAGGCCTGTAGTCCCTAAACATATATAGTTATTTATTTGATGCTGCATCAATATTTATCAATAGGTGAGTGAAGTAATCGAACTTCAGTCTAATGCTTTGAATACACTCTTTGTGTGAAAAAAAAAAGTGAAATATCAATATTTTTCAAGATAAAATAGAAAGCAACACCTAAAACAATGTGGGTTCCTATATTTTTTAATGATACCATTCATGAATACAAAGATAAATACAAAAAAAAAAAAAAAGGAAAGAGAAGAAAATGTGACTCTGATCTGGTTCTGTGTGCCAGAATACAAAATGACACATTGAATCTCATTTTGAATGGAAAATTTGATGTTTCCCATGGAAGTTCACCTAAATGAGAAAACACAGAAAGCTAGAATGCTTTGGCCACATATTCACAACAAAAGATCACAATCCTGTTGGCTGTGAAAAGAAAGAAAACAGCAGGAATTCAGCTTGCTGCAAATTTCCATGAAAGTGTAGCAAAAAGTGATGCTGACTTTCATGGAATATCTTACAGAGGAAAACCAGGCATCTTTACAATTGCAGTGCCAGGCAAAGGCCCAACTATGAAACCCTGGGAAAATATTTTTGCTGTTGCCTATCCTCATAGGTCTGACACAATTCAGATCCAGTTGTTTTTGTACATGATAATTGGTATCTATCTCTTTACCTTATCCTTTGCCTTCCACAGGCGGAGCTGGACAGGCCGAACATCACAGTCCCCATGCCCCAGGTTCATTTCTAATTACTTCCTGGTACTTCCAAATATTTTATTTTTTGCTTTTCTTCCACTTTCTGTATTTAACACTTCTTAACTAGCTCCTCTTTTCCATGCTGATATTAGGAGGTCATGAACATGCTAAACAAACCACTCTAGTTCTTCAGAAAAAGGGCAAGTGTTTATTATACGTAATTGTGTATAGGGAGCTATGAGCTGACAAGCTGTCTAGGGATGTCACAAAATTTTATACCTGCAATACACAGGCATCCAAATGCTATAGCTTTCTACTACATACCATGAAAACAGTGGCCATAACAGTGAGTTATCAGTTTTAAGATAAATACACCTCATCATCTCTCTCATACTCCTAAAGGGAGTTATCAGAGAATTGTCAAGATATGACAGCATTTACTGCCTAATGATTCTTTCTTAGGAAGACAGCATTATTATTATTATTATTATTATTACATAACAGTAGGTATTATTCTGTTGTTATTATTTCTGTTTACCTGTAGTACTTTTGACTAGACTTTCTCAAGAAGATTTTATTTCATAACAAAGGTCAACGCTTTGAATTTGCTTTCATTTTGTTTCATAAAACAAATAAACCAAAAAAAAATCACTGCACATCCATATGATCAAGTGAGCCACTAATGACTTTGATTACCATGCCAGGTAACTTCCCATCTAATTCCTGCAATATTCCATGCACCTTCGTTTTCTTAGACTGGTACAAAAAGTTGTGACACGGATAACAGTAGCATGAGCTCTGTAATGGTGTTATTGGAAAAGAGCATAAATGCAGCTTTCTTCTGCTGCTCTCTCTCCTCCAAAATATTTTTGGTGTATTCTAATTATCCATCCAGCTGGGAGGAATATTGATTATGTTTGGTTGATCAACCAAGAGGTACGTACACCCTGAATGACTGAACAGCAGGCATACCTGGACTGCCTGACTAGCCAGCCGAGTCAAGCTGCTGAATAGTCCAAATAGCACATATGGTCTCTTAGCCATTAGTGGGTCCAAAAATTACTTTATGGATGGATACAGTTTATAAGGAATGTAACACACACTATACCTCCACCTAATAAGTAGAGCGATGGAAACAGATGTTAAGGGACTTAGTCAGGGAAACAGAGGGAGAAGAAAACAAAAATCTTATTCTCTGTCTATATTAAAATTTAGCACAGCTCATGAGGAACAGATCTATAGAGCAAAGCAGATGGTACTGAAGATCCAATATCCTACTTCTGCATTTCAGGGGGGTTCTTCAGATTAGCTCTTGTCCAGTCCTATGAGATGGATGCTCATTAATGCCAGCAATGCATGAAGTGTGCTTCTAGAGTGCATCTTCAGCTTCAGCTTCATCTAGGAGGAATGCAGCTTGTGAGCTCCAAACCTGCTCTGTGGCTACTAAAATCCAGGAACTGGAAGCAATTCGTATATTTGATTTGAAACTGCATACTTATCCTAAGCTAACCATAAATGAATTCTTAGATATCAAGAACTGCTTGCGCCTTTTTGTCTGTTTTTCCAGTGCTCCTTGTTTGTAAAATCACGGTGTGTTCAGTGTTGTTGAGTATTTAGGATACGTCTTGACTAATACTTTTTTTTTTTTTGGGCAGGTGGGACGGAGCAGAAAGGAAGAGCAGGGTAAACCTATTAAGAAATCATTCAGATCATACAAACTGAAAAATCAATTACTAAGATATCTATAAGTCTTAAAAGTCTAATTATTCCTTCAGACATTGTAGATCCAGGCTGAGGAAAGAGTGACTAAAGGTTATTTAGTATCCTGACTATTCATCTCCTCATATATGGAGTCCAAAATGTATAGATATCCTTTAAACTTGTTATATTTTTTTTTCCTCACACAATATTAGTGTTCCTTCTCACACAGACCAAATTTTGCTGGTTAGTTTTAGAACTCACAAAAATATTTGACAATCAGATGATCTGAGGTTATCTGAAGACAGTTCAACCCTAAATTATTTTAAATATTGTGACAGTTCAGGAAGACAAAAGTGAGTGTGGTGGGAAATGGTGGCCAGACATGTTTTATCACAGCAGAAGCACTACTTTTTTATTTTAGAAAATAAACAAATTTTCATGTCAGCATGTTTGAAAGTTCCACTGAATCACCCCTGACATGAATAGCACAAGCCAGCTCAGTGCTGTGGAACTGTAATCCCTGCAATATTTTGCAAGAGCAATGGAAGCAAGCTCTAAAAGGGTCTCCTAGGACACCAGGACAGGATTCATAAACCATCCCCAAGATTTCAGAGAGGAGCAGCGAGAGCTTCATGAAGATTTGCAGCCCAGGAGGGTTTTTAAAAATTTATTTGTATTTAACAATGCAAGAGTACATAGGTTCAGAAATTTTAACAAGGCAATAGTTAAAACCATTTAACACTTGCTAATAAAGTTAAATATGGAATCTGTTTTTCCTTCATTTGTAATGAACAATCGAAATTTCTTCTGAGTTTTATGGGATGAAACTCACCATCAACACAAAACCAGGAATATATGATCGTACAAGATCTCTTAAAACAAAACAAAACAAAAGCACCACCCTGTTAAGTGTACCTCAAAATGATACAGTGTTAAGTGACTGTTTTCTGTGTGAAAGAAAGAATATAATGGAAGCAGAAATATCATTCTTTAATCCAATCCTATTCCTCTATTCACATCTTTCAGAATATAATATCAGACTGAGCTGTAAAAAATTAACTGTGTTTAAAATGATTGCCTTGAAAGACACTAAACATAAGATTTGAGACCTAAGATACAGAGTGGAACAAAAGTTTTATTATTTTCTTTTGTTGAAAATAGTTCTTTTCATAAACAAAAGGATCTTAGTAAAGTGGACATAGTTCCAATATGACATTTTCTAAATATGTTCAATTTTTAAAGCCAAAATTATTTTGAAATTTTAACTGATAAATGTGGGTCATAAAAATCAAGCTAAGCCCTTCCGATCAATGCATCCCAAATGCTTTATTCAAATATTTGGTCTAAATATTCACAAATATTTCTCCTAGTTTGCAACAGATATTTTTGTCAACTTTAGCATTTTTGTGAGTAGGTAGCTATTTTCTGTGATGCTCTAATTTAGACTCTATGAGAGTTTCAAGAGCTGAGCAGATCTCAGTATCTATATTGATCTTTCTATGTAATGTACTTACTTAACTGTGCTTACCACTGTGGTATTGGAATTTTTTATACACTGTGAGTAAACATATTAAAGAATATTTATATATTTCTCTACATGCCGAGCCAAGGAACTGCTCTTAAATATTTTTTTCTACCTTGGATTTTAAATAATAAAACAAATTTATGCTAAAAGTGAAGAACGAGGTAAAAATTTTAAGTTCCAGCTTTAAAGCAGAATTTTAAAAGATTTACTATGTTTGTAATCTTGTCTGGGAGTGAGAAGACCATTATTTGTCATGAAAGACGTAGTCCATCAATGGAAAATCTCAGCCTTAGAACTGATGGTCCATTTCTCTTCAGCTAATTAGCAGTTGTAGGAAGGAGTTGTAGGACTTTAGGTATTTAGATATTTAGTGATATTTTACAAGTAGTTTGCACAAGCTGCATGGATGAATTTGAAAGCAGAGTCCTTGAATTAAAACAGGTACGCATGACACAGAGCTAGGGAGCATGAGATGCTCACAGCAGCTTGTATTATTGATTAAGCACACTGACATATTTTGAATGAGCTGCTGCATATTTTCGGTGGAATGTTACACCTTTGTAACAGGTACCACTGATATTAAAGCCAAAAAAGGCTGCTTGTGCTGTAGGGCAAACCACATGAAAGAAAAGACTGCAAAATTAGCCAATGGTAGTCCTTTAAGAAACATAAACTTGAAAAACAAAACAAAACAACAAACTCAAGTCCTTTTGAAAAGAGTCTTAAGATGTTTTTATTTTGCTGATAGAAAAATAGATTCTATTCTAGCTTGTGTAAACTGCAGAAAAAAAGTCAAACTAAAAAATCCCAGAAAAAACCCAAACAAAAAAGTCAAAACAGACTTGCCCTGAATTTGTCCTTCTCAACCTGAGCTCATTTTTACTGCTAACTGCTGCTTGAAGAAGATGTAGATTTTGCAGTTACAGCGTGGGGGCAGCTGATGAAATTATAGAAATAGATTTAGACACCTAAGAGTAAAATGTAAAATATTTACAGATACGCTTCTGGAAAGATGTTAACAGAAGAGGAAGAATAAAATATAAAGAAAGAATATTCATTTAATTTTTTGTTGTGTTTATTCAGTTAGTAGCTGATAAACAAATTTACATTAGGAAAATGAATTACTCAAATTTATTCTTTTCTAACAGCAAAAATATCTCCTGCTATTCATTTTCCATAGAGCAAATCTATAAGTCTGAAATTATAAAAAGGATTTTTTTTTATGCAAGGAGAGAGATTATTTACACCTAGAAATTTAGCATAGCAAAACTTCGTATCCATCCTAAAAGTCAGTTAATGACAAAGATAAGAAAATTCATTCCATTCTGTTGTATCTGTATTAGAACAGGAGGTATCACCATATGGAGATGCCTACTCCTGTCTATTGGATGTAGGAGGAAAAGGGAAAAAAAAATTAGATTACATGTCTACTAATATAGCAACAGCAGAATGAACCTGGATACTTTTTTTTTTTGTAAAAAAAAAAAACAAAAAAAAAACAGGAGAATGCACAGATATTATTTATAGATAACCTTAACCATTAGTATAGTCTCCCTGTTGCAAAGATACCAAAATAAAATATATATATATATAAAAACCAAATATATTGGATTATTATATTTTATTATTATTGGATTGGTTTATATATATAATCATATATATATTGGATTGGTTTATACATATAAACCAAAATAAAATTTATATATAATCCTAGTATCTCTAGAGTAAACTGCAGAACGCTGTATGAACACAGTGCTGTGGTCCTGTACCCACAGGCACACACTATGTTTTTTTTTTTTTTCCTAGCAGGGATGACCAAGAGTAGGCACAGACATTCTTATGGTTATTGAAATAAAGCTGGTAGTACACACTTTCAATCATAGATATGTATAATTAGGCATCTACATTCATAATTTAGAAAAAATATATATGTGACTTTGTTTTCAAATATCCAGAGGAAATTAAATTTCAAGTGACATAATGATGTTAAGTGTTTGTTTCTAGATAGGCACACAAATACTCACACAAATACTTTTTTTTTTTCTGAAGACTTTTTTTTCCAGCTGCAGAACTATAATAACATAAATAACTATGATGTCTTCCCTGATCATACATAGTACTATACATCAGATAAATTTGAAGTTTGGAATTTCTTGAATTAATATTAACAGGTATGTAAAAATCACTTTGAATCTTATTTATGAGATGTTAGTTAGAAAAGGGAGATCCAGAAGGTGGCAGAACGTGGAGATTTGGACTATTTGATAAACTCTTCCTAAGAGTTATCCTGCAAAAGATCCTGATCCTGATCTCTAGAAATTTCCCAAATTCAACAATAAAAAGTTAGACACACGGCAAGATTATCATTGTCACAGTCTGTATAATCTGCTTCCCAGTTAGTTACATTTAATAGGTAGCAACATCTAAGAGTAGTATTGTGTGTCTGGTTCTTATCAGAAGATAGCTAACTGAACTGAAATAGAAGGCAGACAAAAAGTAAGATTTAATTAAATTTAATTATATGAATTTATTTAGTATTGTGTATTATTTATAATTTGGATAGGAATTCATAGGAGTTTGGATGATTCAAAAAATTATATTTATATAATTCCTAGTACAACAGGTTTATAGACAAAATAGTTCACACTTTTAGATTCATTTTTTAAAACTTACGTCGTTTCTATTTGTGTGTTAATTTTAATCATTCCTACCATTTAAAAAAATGATAGGAACATGACATGCTTTTTGAGAGGGATTTACTTCCTTTCAATAAATGTAGGTTTAAAAAGAACAGAAGAAATGGTATTAATGTGAACTTGAGAAAGAATGGAGAGCAGAGTTTTTGATTCTTAAAGTCCGTTTCTCTATTGTTTTTATTTGTATAAATTGACAGTAATAGTCATTGCAAAGGTTGCAGTCATGAGCGGAGAGAATTTGATTCAGCTGCTGCTAGTCTTTTGCAAACATAGATCTGCTAATTGAAAAGCTAATTAGGATGATAGAGTGATGAGAAGCACATTGGGCAGAAGGGCATAAAACCCATGAAACACCTATTAGAAACCACCTGGTATCCTTTGAAGCTAAAAGACTTGCCTGGATAAAAGCTGTGATGCTAATATTATCTCTCAGGCTGTTGGCCATTTGTTTTAATGGCAGAAACCTCAACAACAGCGAGTGGAAATTGAACACTTGGAAGAATAGCCCAGAATAACCAAGCATAGCTTTGATTCGTCGGTGTTGAAGTTCATGAAAACATTGAAAAAATAGGAAAATGGGAGGCAGGATGAAAAGATAATAAAAGCAAGGATAGAGAAGTCATCAAACAATAATTCTTCTACTCCACAGTTAATATTTTGGTGAGATGCTCGTTTGTATTTAAATCATGGGAAGGGCAGCTGAGCAAGGATTGGAAATACCTACCTTTTTTATTCAGACACTTGTGAAATTTCATCCCAGGTTACAGTGGAAGTCTGTGCCAATACAAGACCAGCTCCAGATTCTCTAATACGCCTCTCACAGCATGCCACTTATTATGTAGATAGTAGTCTACATAATCCTGCAGTACTATATATGAGAGAAAGAGTAGAAACGAATGTCAAGTTTTCCTGTATCCTTAATGGATGTAAAAGAAGAGTTCATAATTTAGAGGCTAAAATAACCCATCGTAAATGTTTATTTCAATATAGTACAATATAATATTTTATTTTTACATGTTTTAAGTCCAATATAATTAAAAGGGGAAAAAGCAAAATTATAGCTATAGTATTAGAAGGCTAAATTCTACATTTAATATCTGAGCTGAAGCCTGAGTACTAGTTTTTGGTGTAGCTTTCTGAATTTTCATTTGAAAGTTTCTCCTGACTATCGACTCTGGGGAAAAAAAAAAATCAGTTAAATCTCCTAACAAGCTCAAAATCTTTGTTTTCACAGAGCTGTTAACGCTACTTAGACATACCCTGCCACAAGAAGAATCACATAGCCATTGTAAATATTCTTATAAAGCCACAAATGTCCTTCATTTCTATCTATCTGTCACAAATTAAGCAGATATATTCTGAGCATTTTCATTTCTGTGAAAAATTATTTTTTTTTCCCTTCACAAGAAAATATTTTCCAGAAATAATTACAATGTTATGCTAAAAAAGGATAAATTATATGACATCTTAGATAAATGTTATGATAAAAATATAGCTAAATATATATGAAAAAAATCAATTAAAATACATGGTGTATTATTTTATATGTATATTCATGTAGGATCTATAAACTGAAGAACATTACATTTTGATATGTCATTTGACACAGATCTCACTTGTACAACTATAAACTGGTAGTAACACAATAGGATTTACTGGAATTACAAAATAGAAAACAGATAGCATAAGCTAAGTTAGAATCAAACCTTAAATTCAGTGTTTTCTGGTTTAATTTTCTACCATTCATCAATACTCCGTCTTGTAGCAACACAGTTTCTCTGCACTGGACATTGCTAGAGTAATTGTGAGGTGCAGTCAGTTTACTTGAAAAAGGCAGCCCAATTAAACACAAGATATTTTAACATCCTGTAATTTCTTAATGATATCTATTATTATCCCAGTTATAAATTATGGAATCAAGGAATATGTATCCAGGTACGTTGGCCCTAACTGCAGGTCACTTTTTAATCGCTATGATTTTATTGCTATGTTTCAAAACATATCCTCTTCCAAGTAAACATGTGATGAGTTCTAGACAACACTGTCTGCCTGAGCAATGTTCTTGAAATCATAGAATCATTATGGTCGGAAAAGGCCTTCAGCAGAACACCTTCATCAAAAGACCTTCTCGATCAAAAGATCAATAAATCCAACTGTAAGCCATTCAACAACATGGCTGTTAAACCACGTCCCTAAGCACTTTGATAAATTTTGTGCATGCATCTGCTCTCACTTTTCCTGGTCTTCCCAGATTTTTGTGAAAAATACTGAACTTCCTGAACTGGGCTTGATTTTTTTCAGGTCTGCTCGATGTATCTATGGAGCAGCTGATACAGACCCAACTGATCTTGCTCAGAATTGTTTTTCTCCCCCAGCCTGTATTGCCAAGTATGGAGAAAGTCCTTCAGGCCAAACAGGTGAAATTTCACTATTGTACTTTCATACAAAGCAGTTTTAAAAGTTCAATGGCAAAATGAGCCCAAATTGTCCTTTGGAAGCTGAAATCATTTCTTTTAGAGATATGAAGCTTGATGAAATGAATTTGGGGGAAACGCTTGAATTCTTAGTCCTTTTGAAAGAATTGATCTGCTTAATTGAGATACATTAAAAATGCTTGATGTACAATTATCTTATTTTCCTTCTACAAATTTCCAGAGGATGTTTGAGAGCTGAGCTAAAGAAATATATCATGGATGTACAAGGAGGAAAGAAAATAGCTGTTTAAACTTACCAATAAAAGATCATGACAATCTCATTTTCTAACTAAGATTTTATTTTTTTAGCGTAAAGAATTTCATGGCCTTTCATATGATATAATGATATGCTTAGGATTAATATAAACTTTTCGATTGAGCACTTTTCCAGGAACATCTTTTATTCTATTCTTGATATAGGCACAGAGTGCCAAAGTCTAATGAAATTTGATTGATCTTTGATTAAGTTAATTGTATAGGGCTTAAAAATGCTATCCTGGATAAGAGACAAGGATCTGTTGTCTTCAATGACATCAAAACATTTGACATATTTGTTCAGAGTAACTGAAAAAGAAATGAAAAAGAGGAAAAATGTTTGCAAGCTCATTCTGTAGAGAGAATGTGAAATTTGGGTTCTTTTTTGGAGGTGGCTAGTCTCTAAATAAAATTAAGTCTAAAACATTCAATTGTTAAACAACACATCTGCTGAGCTCTGTTCAGTGATGCCAGAGGACAGAAGACCAGCACCAGAAGACAGATAAAAAACTTAAATTTAGGCATCATGTTTCATAATCTTCGACTCTTTTTGTCAAAAGTGCTGAATTTTTAGGGCTATGGTAGTAAGATCAGCTTGCTCACCTGAACACTCACCTTGCTATTTAATAAATTACTTAATAAATCAGTAAATTTTATCACAGTTTTATTCTTTTAGATAGCCAATAAGTAGCTATATATGAGTAGTTGTGAGCAAGTAACAAGCTAAAGTTGGCACAGGTGAAAATGTATGAAAATTGGCAATGAATGCAATTATGTAGAAAACTGAAAAAACAAGATTTCTGGTCACTAGTATTCTGAAACAGTCCGTCAGTATAATAAAGGGAAAAGAATCCTAACTCCTTTTAAGAAAAGATTGACCAGTCTGTTTAAAGCCATATTGGACACACGTCACCAAAAATTACTCTCATTCTAGAATTTCTTTCTTAATGTTTTTGTCCAAAATATCAAATTTATTACAGTTT